TAAAGTTCTGCGTCCGCCCCTGACGATATGATATGTGTTTTGGAAAAAAATCCATTACTTGCAGAAATAATGAAATGGTAGTAGAATACTAGTATAATATCATTTCTCCAAGTTCAAGACAAACATTTATGTTGAGTTATGAAATTTAATGGCTTTTTGAATAAATAATTGTTTAAGACCAAGAATTCGGATTGGAAATGGGGTGCCCCATGCAGGTTTTCTACCCCGACCGAAGGTGCCTTTTAGAATGAATAATTGTTTAAGGTCAGGACTTCGGACTAGAAATGGGGTGCCCTGTGCTGTCTCATGCCCAGTTGAAGGTGACTTTGAGACATGACCATCTCACGTACCAATACATCTTGCAAGGCAAGGCACAAGTAATACAATAATACAATCATCTTGCAAGGTAAGGGTGCATTTTGCCTAGCGAAGAATATGTACACCGATCATCTTGAGAGTCGAGTCATCTCGAGAAGAGAGAAATGAGTGGAACAATCATCTTGGGAGACGAGAGATGTAAGTAGACAACCATCATGCGAAACAAGGAATAAATAAGACAATCCTTTCATGTGGCAGACATAAATAATACAATTCTTTCCTTTTCAAAGCATTTTACATTGTGAGGCGTATACACATTACGATAATCTCGCAATACAAAATAATCATGACCTAGGTCCTGCCTTAATGAGAAAATCACAAGCTTAGATCCCTCTTCGATAATTGGAGATCTTATGAGCTAGCCTCGGACGATCGACGTCTTATAGCTTTCCTCAATGATAAATTGTATTAACTAAATTTGACGTGAATTTGATTCTTATGGTGCAAGAGTTCATAAATGAGCACTATCAAAACTCAGTAACAAAACACTCAATTAATTCTAATATCATCTAATATTATTCTAGAAAATTAATATTATAATGAAGGATTGTTCATCGAAAAATTTAACACGTTATATGGGAAGATAACTTATTTATTTATGTTTGTAGAAAAATAATCCAACAATTTTCTAAATATTATAAATTATATAGTTTACTTATATTTCAAATCTTTTATTTTTTCTAAATTAGTTTCTTATTCCATCAAAGTCAATTGATTAGCAAGATAAGTTAATCCAATTAAGGGATGACTTATCAACTATAGACAGTAGTTGTTACGATTGGATAACCATTAAATTTAATTAAAACTAAAATATTAATAAATGTTAAAATCATTCTTAGCAGATTTTTATTTTTTATTGATTTATTGTTGAATATATAATTACAAGATGCTGACTTTCAAAAACAGAGAAGGTTTTGAGAAGGACTTAACAGTTTTATATTTAGAAAAAGTCTAAAAAATAGATATTTAAAATATTGATATGGATTGAGTCGTGATTAATTGAAGTCAACCAAGTTACAGATTTGTTATATATTGTTCAACTAATTTTAATTTATTTCGACATGATCGTCCAACTTATATATGGTCACCTATTTTTTTTATTTTCATTTGCATTATCCAACTTATACCTAGTCACCGAATTTTATTTTGATTTGATTTGATCACCT